CCCCGAGGCGAGGCCCGTCACCGGGAGGTCGCGCGCCGCCACCGGCGAGCTGTCTGCGGCTGGGGAGCTGTCGCCGGGCAAGGAGCCGACCGCGGAGAGCCTGCGAGTGCCCCCTCCCCGCGGAACGGGTCTCGGCTATTGACAAACCCTGTCTGCCCGCAGGCAGCCAGCGCAGCCCCGCGAGCTGAACAGCGCTCCAGTAAACTGTGCCTTTCCCCTCCCAGCCCGTCTCCGGACTCCGGCATGGATTACCTCTCGCAGCCCGGGTTCCTCAGCGTCATCGCCGGCGTCGCCTGCGGGGTCTGCCTGGGCTGGGGCATCCGCGGGAGGCTCCTGAGGCCGCCCAGAACGCCTGCGAGCAGCGCGGGGAGCGAAGCTGACGTCATGGGGGAGTCGGGGGAGTTCAAGATGGTGCTGGTTGTCCGCAACGATCTGAAGATGGGCAAGGGCAAAGTGGCAGCGCAGTGTTCGCACGCGGCTGTTTCCGCCTACCGGCAGGTGCAAAGAAGAAACCCCGAACTCCTGAAGCAGTGGGAGTACTGCGGGCAGCCGAAAGTGGTCCTCAAAGCGCCGGATGAGGAGACTCTGATCCAGCTCCTGGCGGACGCCAAGCACCTCGGACTCACCGTGAGCTTAATACAGGATGCGGGGCGTACGCAGATCGCTCCGGGCTCCCAGACCGTCCTCGGTATTGGCCCGGGACCAGCTGACGTGGTAGATAAAGTTTCTGGTCACCTAAAACTCTTCTAAACCGGGGACCAAAGAAAGCGGAATGCGTTGGCGTAGATCAGTACTGAAGAGATAAAATCCAAGCTTTGGGATTTTTCTGTATGTTCTCTCAGTATAAATAAACTACCCCTTTTTTGTAAGAGATTTGAATTCATAAAGTGTGAGTTTCTCTAGCTTCTGTGTTGTGTTCTAAAGGGGGAGAGAGAATGCTGGGCTCAGGGGAGCTTGAGGAGAGTAGAGCTGGAGACTTTTACTACCTCTAAGAAGGAACCCAGTATATTTACGACTTGTGCAATCGATGGATGATTTTGCAATTTGTCTGCTTTATGGGCTGAATAGAAGCATTAGTAAAGTTTAAGTGAATTTGTCCCACATGCTAAAAATGACAGGTTCCCCCTCTCTGCCTCACAGGAGGCGTTTTGGAAAACAGACATTCTTGAATTGAGCAAAGATGAGCTGCTGAAGCAGTCACCCCACATGGAAAGGGGCAGCTGTAACCAGCTTCCTGCAGAGTTTGTCACAGAGTAACTGGTGTGATAGCTTGTAACCAGTATGAGACAGACCCAGTTAAACAGGCTTTGCAGCCCAGGCCTGCAAAGAGCTGTGGGAGGGGCTGTAAGCTGTGCTCCTTTCCAGAGGCATCTGTGTAGCTACTGCCCTCGCAGGAGTCAGTTTAGCCGAGGTGTGGGGAGTTACCCTACACACAAACAGCTTGTCACGCAGGGAGTAGCTTAAATCCCATTTTACTGGGGATTAACAAGTTGTCTTGGGGTTAAGGATGTTGCAGGACAGAGTTCACATCACACCGATCATGGGTTCTGTAAATTCTACCCTTGCAGCTCGTTTGCAGCTCTAACTGTAAAACACTGCACTTCTAATGCAGTGGACTTTCTACACGAGTTTTGTTACAGAGCTGTTTTGTGAGAACGCTGCTGCTGAGCACGTGTCTTACAGCCTCTCAGCCACGTCTTCCTTCTGTGCTCTCTTGCACAAGGTATTTTGTAGAAATGCAGCTGGATTTATCTCCATCAGTCGAATTTACAGACCCCAAAGGAATGTTGGAGGGCTGAAATTCAAGTGTAACCAGGCGTAATAAACTCAGAAGTTTTTATACCGCACCTCTTATTTAGGCATAACACTTACACAGACTCTGACACTCCTCACTGCGGACTTTACTCCAACACACCCTTGAACCTAGACCTAGAGCCTGTGGCAGGCAAAGCCCCCCCCAGCTGCCTGCACCCCCCTGTACACCCCAACTGCTGCAGGGCTGGGCTGACAGGACCGCACAGCACCGCTGGGGGCACGCAGGAAGGGGATTCAGCCTCAGAACTTAACGCCTGGTTGAGACAGGAGCTCCTACAGCTATCGCAAGGAGGGCCAGGGCTCTAATACTCATTACACTCACATATGACAGTACTCGGAGAGAAACATTTAAGTCGGTTTTATTTGAAGCTAAATATATTTAAGGCAACTTACATACCTAGAACATGATCTCAATTTAACTGACACACCCTACTACAATCCTAATGTATCATCTGGGCAAAGATGCTGTAGTTGGCCCCAATGCAGCCAACTAGTGAAAAGTGCTATTTTCTTCTCTCTGGCATAATCTCTCTATAGAAAAAGCATTACATATTTTCTTGTCGTGCCCCCTCCGTGCAAGACAGCACTAATGGTCTCCACTGCCGCTCTCCTAACAGCTCCTCACACCCTCGAATGTAGGCCCTCACATGCCCCATACTACTAGCACTGTAATACTTGGTTCGAGTTCGAAGGTCCTTTTTGAAGACAGTAAAGTGAAGCTACCACTATGCAGCATGTCCACAGTCCAGTAATTTATTTTTAAATTGAGTAATTTCAAATTGCACAAACAAAACTGAACAGCAATATGCTTGAATTCTCTCTTCTGTACACTCAAAACAGTGATCTAAAACACCACAATATCCAACATACACAAACCTCAGGGCAGGGTTAGTAAATACACAGATTGGAATCATGGTGCTCTGTTCCTGAATGGAATGTCCCACAAAAGCACAGGATACAGCACAACGTAAGGTCATCTGTTACATATGGAGTGAGCAAAAAGACACTAGCATTTTTCTATATGCATAACTGGAAAAACCTGCATAGGTTAAGGAAAAAAACCAAACTTTTACCCATTTTAAGTCAGGCAAGGTTGTCTGTACGCATTTTAAATTCTTTTAGAGCTATGCAATCCAACCAGGGTAGGATATGCTGATTAGTGTTGTCTCTTGTCAGCAGTCTTGCAAGGTCAAATACAAGTATCTTCGCTTCAGCTTTCTCCGAATATACAGTGAGACTTAAATGCATTTAGAATAGACAGTACATACTGTAAGCTGCTCACATACAATGAACTTAAGATTCAATATTAGAGTTTAACACTATAGAGTGCAAATCAGAATCTTCACAATAGACTTAATGGTAATAAGCAGTCCTGCAAAAGCCCACTTGAACAAAGTTGTTTAAACTATTCCCCTTTTGAAGTAAAGTCTAAATGACATGGAATGTGAAAAAGATTTAACGTAAGTGATTCAAATAGTTTGCGCTAGAAAAAACAGTCCTTCATGAAATAAAGGTTACAAGAACACGAGGCAGAACTCTTGCTTTTCCCTGTTATGAGTTAAAGCGGGGAGGACGGTGGAGTTTCAGTAAGAAAATATGCTAGCTCCCAACTGACTTGTGCTGCGTCTTACATGCTGTACCCAAAGCCAGGCTGCGGCTGCCCGTACGGAGGTGCAGTGTAGCCGTAGCCAAAAGGTGCTTGCGGAGGAACGGCGACACTGGGTCCTGCTGTCAACATTAGCTGTGGCTGACCTGGAAGACAACAGTTTCATCTTTATTCCTCAGTACTCCGAGGTCAGTCAGCAGCATTTTGCCTCCCTGTAGACATTTCTATGTTTAACAAGTCCCTATTGACCCGATTTTGGGTCCTCAGCAGCCAGGACAAGTATTTCCCCACAAAGCCTCAGGATGACAGAGTATATGGCTAAAAATACTGCCCAATGAAGTACGCGGACACTAACAGATTCTGGAAACTTGGGACACGCAGTTTGTGTTCTTAGAAATCTGAGGAAGAGAGAGAGAAGGGAACAGCTTCCTACTCTTTCAGCACTGAGCTCACCCAGTCCCAGAATCAGTTTGGCATTTGAATAGCATTTCCTGCTCCACTTGCATTAATAACTCTGCTTCATTTAAGGGCAGAGTCCTACGCTACGGTGAGCCTGATGCGAAGGCTTGACCCCCACAGTCCTGAAGTACAGAAACACCTTCTCAAACATTCTCATCAGCCACGTTCACTACAATGGAATAATTAATTCTGGAGAATCACATCTTTGGTAAGTGTCTGAGTTTCAGCTACTTACGATAACAATTTAGTAAGACAGCCCAATAGTTTACAGTTACAATAGCGAGTTAGGCCAGGACATGGTCTCCAGACTAGTTCAGCCTTATAGCAGCAATTCAAACATATTAAGAATATTAAGTGTGCATAAAGACAACTCTTACAAGTTTGGGTTTTTTTTTTTTGCTTTGGGGACAATGTGGATTGGATTAGTTACATCAGTACTCAGAGCTAGGTTTTGAAACATCACACCCAGTGGCTTTATGGCTAATATTCCACAATTATTGCACTTCTAGAGACGTGACTAGAGATGTCAGCTATAGACTGGAGGCTCCTTTATCACTGGATGGAACTCATCTTTGTAACTTTTACTAGAATTAGTGGAATAATCTGGATACAAAGGAAACACCCAAGACAGACAAAGCGTGCTGAGCAAGATCCAAATAATGCACTTGCTGGAAGTCTGGAAAAGTACAGCTCCCGCGCTCCTTTTCTTTAGAAAGCATTTCCTTAACGATCTAGGACAATCTTAAATCCTGCAGCCCACATCCAATCTTAGCAGCAGCAGCACTAGAGTGGTGCTTTATCTAGTATTTTGGAACACATTCCTTTAAGACTTGATTTCACATGAAGAATGTTCCTATTTCCAAGGACTTCCTTGGGAAAAAAACACGACTAGAGAAGTGTTGTTTTAAAAGCAAAATGTGTTACTGACAACACAGGAACTAGAGCCTTACCATAAACAATAGGTTGTGTTTCTGTAGCTTGCTCCTCTTCCTTTCTCAAAGACTCTGACGCGTCCAGTTTATCCACCTGGAATTGAGAACAACAATTAAAAAAACTCCTCTAAAAGAGGTACTTACTCATGGCAGAGGAGTGGAAAAGCCTTAGTGGTATGTTAACACCCATCAAGAAAAGGAGACCATTTACAAGTTAAGATCAATTCAAGTAGCAATGTTGGTACTGGTGCAGTCAAGATTGTCCGTTTCCTGAAAAAACCCCTAATTAAGGGATTTGTGGAACTTCTTTGAAAGCTCACTCCAGGCTGAAGCTTTGTATGAGAGGTCCCATACTGGACTAGAGCTACTTTGACATCAGTAAGCTCAGTCAGTGTTGCTCCAGCTACTTCAAACCAACAGCCTCAGGACACAAACTCCAATTTTTGCACAATATCAGTTGGAGACCTTTGGTGTTGGAGCAATTTCTAAGGTAACAACCAGACCTGGAGAAGTTTTCCCTGAATAGAACACGGAGGCAAAGTAATCTGAAGTTGTTATTTGTACACAGCAGACTGCAATAGCATCCGACATGTCACTTGAGCCTCAAGATTTCACTTTCCAAACCCATTCACTCATGCAATTTAAGTTCAAATGCAAAGAATGCATGTGTATAAGACTTGCTTTTTTCCACTCTGGAACTGTGTGGCAGTCAGCCTAAACCCAGGAACACTCAGCTTGTTTGAGCTTAACACACAGTGACAAGACAAGACTAGCCAGCTTCACTCTGCTGCACAGCAAGTGCCATTGTGCTGTTAGCCCACCCCTACAGAAAGGCAAGAGAAAAAACTTATCCTATAGTGAAATATTGCTTGTTACTAACACAGATCCACAGAAACTCAGCAGTACTACAGTCTAAGGCAGGCCCTGAAACTATAACC